TGCTGACATGCTTAATTTATGGTAAGTTCAGTTTTTGTGTTTAAATAATTTGTTCCCAGTATATTTAATTATTTTTTAATTATGCTTAAGTTTACATAATTTATGATTTGTTATAGCTGAGTTATATTGTTATTGCTGACATGCTTAATTTGTGGTAAGTTCAGTTTTTGTGTTTAAATGATTTGTTCCCAGTATAAATTTGATGTTATTTTGTTACAATTCCATAATAGAGAGTGACACAAGAAAGGAGAAAGAGTGTGTTATGTAATAAAGTAGAGCAACATATATTTCAGTATGTATATGTCCATTATTAAATTTTTAGTATATGTTCCTTTAATAGTGCTAACACAGTGCATAGAAGGTTCTTTTATCATTCCGACATTTTCTCATTTCTAGCCTATTTTTTAATCCCTAAACCAGTTATCAAAATCTTTTTATTTAAGAGAAGGCATTGTTGCAACTATAAAGAGAAAATAAATTGTCTTTTCAAACAACAACACAATTTATTTTTTAACTTCTCATTCGTAAATTTTCTTTACATTTTTTTTAAATGGATGGTGATATTATAATATTTGTTTTTTTTTTTACTCTTGATCAAGAAAATTTTAGGCAGTGAAATTTGTTGTCTCCATAGCAAAAGAAGTACATAAATGTAATGTTGGTTTTTTATATCCGACATGGCAAATCAAATATGACGAAATCTAAGAGTGTCAATATGGAAGATGAGATTTTGGTAATACATTAATATAGGTGTGCATTATTTAATAAATTATTCTTTTTTTTTTTATTTATAAAGATGATGCATTCCTATTTATTTTAATAAAGTTAGACACTCCCATTTAATTTTATTTACTATGTCATGTAAGCAAGTTATCTCGGGATCATCGTGTATACACTATTTATTTCTAATTGTTTGACACATTATTTATGTTTTATTAAATAAAAGTATTTGAATTTTTTTTCAATAATTACTTTTTTAAAAAAAATACCATTTTAACAGAGAATTCAAAGAAATTTTCAAAATGGCTAACATTCAATATTGAGGCGCCATATGAAATGGCTGATGGGTGAAGGGATGAACCAAGTCGCCATCCCATATGGCGCCTCCCTTTATGCCCTAAAACCAAGTCGCCATATGTCTGGTGCCACCCTTTGCCCTAAACCTAATTTCTAAAGGAGGCGCCATATGGTATGGCGCCTCAGTACAATGTCTTTTTTTAAAATCATTTGTTTTGTGTTTTTTTATCATGTGTTTTTAAGGGTAGTTGAGCCATATCATATGTAACCCGTACTATTTCATTTTTTTATAAATAAAATTGCACACTCATCTTTTTTTCACAATAATTTTCAACAATAGACTCAACTCTTTATAATTTTCAAATCAATCTAGAATGTCTGCATTTCTAAATCAACGTTCATCGTCATCATCATCGGAGGAACTATTTCCAACATTTCCTTTAATGAAAAGAGATGCTCTAGTTTATTTTTCATCAACAAAGCTTCCGATGAAGGTGCTACTGTGGAACACACATACTTTGGAACATTTGCATAGAGAACTGAACCGCTGGCTAGAAGGAGATATTGTTGTAGGTGAAAAGATTAGGAAAATTGAGAGGCTAGTTGCGGAATCGGGGAAAAACGGAGTAACTCGTGATTTGAGAAAAGTAGAAAATGATGTTGGTGTCCTTATGATGATGTTAACACCAAAGAAGATTACCTTGATGGTTGTAATATCCTAGACAAGTTGATGCATTGTGTTGTTTTATGTGGGTTTGTTGTTATTTTAAGATTTTTATTTTGATATTAGGTTATGTTGTTATTATTTTCGGATTGTTGTTTTGATATTAAGTTATGTTTTTTTAATTTATGTTGTTGTTAATTGTAATCGTTTAGGTATGCTATCAATAGAATGAAATTTGTTGTTGATTTAAAGGGACACAGTTACATTAGAAATTATGCATACACACAATTGAACTACATATAATAATTTTTCGATTGGGTGACCATCTAGATTAGGATTGATAACGTCCAATTAGGTTTGGTGTAACCAAGAATATTGGGTTGGGAACTTTGTGTGCTTTAAATAAGAAAACCAAGGTGGGGTTTTCCTTTAAGATCAGTGTGATTTGAAGGTTTTGCACAAGATCACGTCAACAGAGATTCGACCGAGTGAAGGCCTTGGGACAATGTGGTTTTCTTACAAGGGAGTAGCGTAATACTGTGAGTTGTGTTTGGGAATCTTGGGTTTCAACAAGTTTCGTTCTCGAGATAATTGTAGGATTGTAGTCGCATTGTTGGTCACTTGATCAAGCTTTGATCAAGAGTTTGAAGGTGCAAGAATCAACTCAAATCATAGGCATTTTGGGGTTTGAGTTCTTTATCTCTTGTATAAACAATTTTTCAGAGTTAAGATTAATTGCAAGTATCTCAATTCGATTTCGAATTGAGGGTAGACATACCCATAGCGAGGCCGATTGGGGAACTGTCTAAACAAATCTTTGTGTCTCTTTATCGCTTTAATTTTCTTTAATTGTTGTTCTTACAAATTATCGATTTCGTTATTGTTTTGATTAATTCGATTGAAAATTATTTTTAACTTTCTTTTAAATTGTTGTTGTTGATATAATCACAATCACTTTGATCATGATTGGATTTTTACATCAACAAAATAAATCAAATTTCTAAACGTGATCAATCGTACGCAAAGTGTTTGATAAATTGTTTGTATGTATTTTTATTGCTTTGTGTTCATTGGAAATAAGTATTACGAATAGATTTGCATTTGATTGATTTGTGACTTGATAATTGTTGAACGATTTGTATTCATTATCATTCCAAAAGATTTGCATTACGCATATAGCTTTTTGATAGTAGGTCCGGTTAGATGATTCGATCCGGGTAGTTTTTCCATTGTACCATATTTTTGAAAACAGATTTTTTCCAAAAGTTTTTGGTTGTAAAATTTGTGATCTATTCACCCCTCCTCTAGATCGAAGTCTATCGTCTAACACTGGCTCAACATCATCAGCAGTAGGAGGTGGCACTAGATCATAAACATCTACAATATCAACAGTAAGAGGTGGCAGTGATGCCTCCGATACCACTGGTGACTCGGATATCTCAGGCGCCTAAATTGGGGAAGTCTGGCGCCTGCGGGAGGATGGAGAGAGTGATGCGTCAGTAGGTGAATCTTGACTCCTACGAGAAGAATAAGATGAAGAAGCATGAAGAAAAGCACGAGCTCCAGAAGTAGATGACTCTGAAAGGCCAGAGGGATCAGAAGCCTCCGAAACCTATTGACTCTTCTCCCGCCGCACTGATGCGTGTTTTGCAATCCTCTCTTGCCTCAGTCTATCGTGGCTATCAACCATTATGCATGTAAGTTAAAGTAAAGCAGACACATAGTGGAAGCAAACAACACAACAAGCAAAAAAAAATAAAAGAAAATTATTGAGAAAATTCTATAGATGCATCTCCTGTTGCTAGGAAAGTAAAACGTTGAAAAATTTCGGAGATGGATCTTCGAAATTCCCTGCAACTGAAACTGCGTCAATGGCGTCAATGCACACATGAAATCACAAAAAAAAATGTTTTGATCATCCTTTTTAGCCAACAAATGTGTAATACACTATGTTTAAACTATCATACATGCATGCAATTTCTACTCATTTCTAACGTTAGTCATCAATTTCTACTCATTTACACAAAAACTAAAAAATTTACCAAAACATCAAAAAACTTACAAATTTCAACTTTGATTCAGGGTCGGATGATGTTTCTGATGTTGGTTGAAGTTCCCTTGAGCTTTGTTGTTTGATTTTTGACTTGATGGTGAGAAAAAAATTTGAGAGAATTTGAAATGGTTTTGTGCAAAATGAGAGACTAATAAAGAAAAGGGTTCTGACGCGAATTAATCTCCAAAATATTTTAACTCTAATTAAGATTTAGGTGTGTTCAGAGATATATCTTCGAAATTTAAAGATATTTGAGTATTTTTGTGTGGTATCTAAAAAACATAAAAGGTGCATTAAGAAATTGTCATATTTAAATCATTATTTTTGTACAATGGTTTATATGGTGTATCATTATTTTTGTACAAATGACATGATTTATATAGTGTATCATTATTTTTGTACAAATGAACATGGTTTATATGGTGTAGTATAATAAGTTAGTGTAGAAATAGAAAAACTGTTGTAAAAATGGCCGAAAGTAATTGTGATTTTTTTTGGCATATAGTTTATGACATCAATGAAATTTAATCTAACAAAACTAAGTAATAACAAGTAAGGAAGCTTTATAAATATAGTATTTGATCATGGATAAGCCAATTCCACATAAGTATAATTGCAATAGTTTTATTTGGGTTAGTGTTTTCCTGTGATTTTAGTTTAGTGTAAATTTAAAGATACTAAAAATTATATATATTTATAAAAAAATTATAAGGTACTATAAAAAAAATATCAAAAAACTTGGTGGCTAGACTCAAAAACTTAAAAGGTGAAGAATGTTGAGTCTTGGACCCTTTTATAAACTGAGTTGTATTTACATCGGCTGTTCATTACTATAAATTGTATTGAAACAGTTATATTTCTTGGAAAAATTACATCAGCAGGTCATTCATTATATTTGGCTCATTTGTAAGCTTCCTATTCAGCTTTTACTCAACTTCAGATTCAGCTTTTGAATTACAATGGAAGCTTAATCTTTGAATTTGAATTGGTTGTGAGAGTGAATCTTGAAAACAGATATAGTGAATTCCATAAGAAATGGCAGCAGCATACAACTTAAAAAAGGTAGGATGCTTGAATCCCAAATATGCAAACTTAAAGGAGTTTGAAGAACACTAAGTAACTTTAATTTAGGGAATATAATATCAACAACCAAAAAACTTTATTGTCAATCACTTATAATTTGCCACTTAATTAAAAAGTTCAACTTAAGTCATAACTACCTTTAAAGTCATAATACAGTAAATGATTTGAGGAGAAAACAAATCATTATGAAGAGTCTTCCACCTCGTAAATAACTTCAGCTTCTCCTGACGCTCTTTTGAACCGAATCAGTTCTGGAACCAACTCTGGCCTGACATTCACAATAGGCTTCACAGTCATCTTTTCTAGCACAGGCGAATAGAGAAGTAGAAATCTGATAAAATCCAGTTCAGGTTGGAAACCAGAGATGCTATCTATGGCCACGTGTCGCACTCGGATGGGTGTGGCTGGCCTTGAAAATGTATTATTCCAATGGTAGACAGTGACTGGTGTCAAAGGGACAGTATGATGCTCAATCCGTGCCTACATGCAATTGTTAGATCAAAGAGAGAAGATAGTTTGCATAAGAGAGATATAGCGCATATTAAAACTCTGAAGGTACCATTAGCATTGTATTGATTGATAAAAGATGCAACTAACTCATATGCTCAGCAAGCAATATCACAACTTATATATCCAAGTCTGCGAAACTTTCATATCTATACACCGCATAAAAACAAAAACATGGTGTGCTAGTGCAACCAACCAATAACTGCAAGCAAGACTAAATGAGTACTCACAGATATATCTAATTTTTGAAGATTAGGTGAGCTTCTGAGCAAGCAAAGAGCAGCCGAAATTTCCTTCAAGTCATCAAAGTTTATGCTTAAGGAAAGATAACTTAGGCCAATACAAGGGGTAGGAAGCTTTATTGGCAAAAGACCTGCAGCCAAATACTAAAGCAAAACATAAAAATGAGTCTAAATCAGAATATAAATTAGGAGTTACATACACGCGATTGTGTTTCATATTTAACAGTATTAAGTGAGTCACTACTAAACTCAAATTCAAAATTCACAAGCTCAAACATTATACCTTTAAAAAGCAACTACCAATCACTAGGCTTTGCAGGTGAGGTCGACGATCGAGAAAATCGAGCAAATTGCTTGAGCGTCTATGCAATGTACTTTGATTGTTTTCGGGGATCAAATTCAACCTTGAATCAACTATTACCGTAACTAATTGGAAAGTTTTCTCAAAGCTAATACCCTCAAATTCACCAAAAACTTCAAAAATCTTGAGATTTGGTGAGTGAATATTAATTTGGGTTAAACCATCAACTTCTTTCAATTTCAATTTTTCAAGCAAAGGGCATCCATATATCATTTTTTCAAAAGCATCTTGAGCCATAGTAACCAAATTTAGATCAAGACTTCTCAAATTCCTAAAGCCTCGAAACTCTTTTGGAGGTTTAAGCCAACAGCACTTTAGTTTTAAATGATGTAAACTTCGACAAGAGAATAAGCACCAAGGTATCTTATAGTATTCTTTTTCTTCATGTGGCAGAAATTCCAACACAAGCTTCTTAATAGACCTTCCGGTTAGATGAAGAACCCATCTATCAATATCAGTCACGAGAACATCACAAATAAGATCATATTCAGAGAACTTGAACATGTTGGTTGGCCCCGAATGAAGTAAAAGTACATGATCAACAATTTTCACAAACTTGCTCTGATTAACTAAAGCGCCTTCGGAAGCTACACCTTGTTTATTAAACACAAGATTTGGAAGTGTATACCATTTGTTCTTCCATATTTTGGATAAAACACTTGTTCTCACCGCTTCCCTAATTGGCAAGTAAGACAGAATTTGGTCTATTACATGACCTGGTAAGTTGCTAATTCTATCTGTCACCGTTTCAATAACTGTTTGGCGAGTAGGCTTCTTTTTTTGTTTTCTTCCCTTTAGATTGATATATAGGTGCATACCGGAACCAGAAAAGAAACAAGGTTAGTATATATACAAGAATCGTAGTAAACTCAAACTATAAATAAAAACACCAAAGTTATTTAATCTTCTAAAATCAAATTATAAAACGGAGTGGTTACTGTATAATGATATATAATAAATTCATTACAAAGAAGAAGACTTTGAGAAAGTACCATTGTTAAACTAAGGAATAATTGAGTTGTTCCAAGAAAAGATGGTTATCTTGGAATGTGATTGCTGCAGCAAAGAAAAGAAAAAACATTAATTAATTTGAGAAAAAACTAATGATGAAATGATGCATTGCATGTTGAAGAAGAAATCAAATAAATACAGTATAGAGTTCGCACCGTAACGGTACAGTCTATACCTGGCAGTTATCATCGTACTAAATCTACAACTTCTCCTCAAAACTTCCCGCCAAAATTTCAAAATTTATAATAAATAAAACTAAAATATTAATTAAATAACAATTATTAAATAAATATAAGTATAAATAACAGACAAGTATTTTAATTTTTTTTTTTTAACTAGCCATGTATTTATCATATAAATGCAGTGTCCAAATAAATTACCAAACCAACTATCATTCAGCAGAGGATCGCCAATCTGTATGGCGACACAGGCAATGGGAAAAAACAAATTCGGCAGTTGAATTGGCGATATTGAAGAAAATGGGAGAAATCGCCATCACAATTGGCGACATAGTATTAGCTAGGGTTTTCTGCGTACAAATTTTTTTTTACTGTATTTACTGTAATAAATTTTTAAATATTAATAAATATTTTAATTATGTATTAATAAATATATTTTATTAAATTATAGTTTAAGTTTTTTTTAATTACTTGAAATTTAAATAACCTTAAAAAAATATAGAAATGTTAAAAATATAAAATTATATTAATAAAAATTACAATTACAATTACAATTGAACAAAAGAAAAAAAACTAATGACCGACTCTATCCAAGGGACCATCGGTGCCACATTGGGGGGATGCGCGTTGCGACGAGGTCTACGACGAGATTGTTGTGGTGTGTCCGGTCTCTGCGTGTTGAGTTGTGGAGGAGGGTATGATTGGGACGACCCCGACGTATCAGATAGATTTTCCATCATTTGACCCCAATAGCCGGGAGGTCCACTCTCAACGGCGTTTCCGTAGTCAAGCTCAATGCCCATGTTTTCGAAGGATTGTCGGGGAGGTTGGGTGGAGTATGGACGGTATGGTTGTCCGAATGTGTACATGGAATTGGGTTGGTCTAGGTGTGTTGGTTGTTGTGGGGTGTGGTAGTCAAATAGTGGATAGTTGGAGGGGTAGTTGGAGAGGGTCGGGTCAAATGAGTTGTTTGGGCTATAGGTGGAGGGGATAGGCTCAAAAGACGTGTCAGGGCTATAATGTTATGGTGGTTGAGGCTGGGACTGGGTGGGTGGCATGTAAGGATGTTGTTGTTGATAGAGTATTTGTTGGCATGTATGGGTTTTCGTAAGGCTGATTTTGGACGCTGAACTGTTGTTGTGTGTTTGACGAAGATTCGTGTTCCCTTGGGTCGGCCAAATAGGTTGGCTGGGACAGGAAAGGCTGAGATGTAGTGACAGACCTAAACCAAGTCATATATTGAAGACTTGGCCTAGCCCCGTGCACAATACGGTCGGTTAAGACGTGCTGCCTTCTTCTATTCCAGTGTTTACACAACTCCTTCGCAAACTCCTTCCAATCACTGACACTCCACTGTGCGTCCACCCGCTTTTGATGCCACTACCCCAAGTCTACCGGAGAATCTGGAATATCCTGATGCATCCCAAATTGTAGTTTCACCCGGCCACTTTGGTGCATCTCCACCGTAGTGAACCTAATTATGGGTGTCCTTAATGTCCACACATCAGCATCATCGGGGTTGGGCTGGTGGTCGAGACCCTCGTACGACATCCAGACAAACTACAATAAAGTTGGACAAATAAGTTAGACAGAGATATACAAGTTTATGCATATACATTATAAAAATTAATGGTAAATAACTTACATCATCTGATCCAAGGTGGTCGATGAGGTTGCGGTATTGAATTATAGAGTGCATGGGACATCTCTGATAATTCATCCCTGGAACAGACCACCTAAAAAAATAAACACATATAAATTAGCATCTAAAACACATATCAGAAATCATTAACTTAAAAAGAAAATGTTTTTGCTAAAAAAACTTGAAAAGATACTTACTTGTTGGCGTACGGGAGTGTAAAAGAATTCCGGTTTATTGAAGCATTGGAGCAAACATTGGCATCCTAGACCAACCCCACGCTTGCAGAAGATAAGCACAACCATAAAAAGTACATGAATTTTTTTTTGAAGTTTTACAAAGTGCGCTGTACAGATGGGCGAGTACAGCTAATCCCCAACTATATTCGCACACTTTGTTAATATTCCCCAATAATGGTAAATACATAGTATGAACGGTATTTTCAGTGCCCTCTGGAAATAAAAAGTGCCCGAATAAAATCATAATATAGCACCGAGTTATGAGTATTTTCTCATACTCGGTGCTATCATCAGTTAAGACAATACGGTTGTACTGTTCTCTAAGGTATTTTAAATTAATTCCCTGCCCTCTCGGGCGACCCTCACTTTCTGCCTGAGGTGCATCCATACAAATAGGGGCGTCCAATAAATCTTCGCAAAGTCGGTCAGGGACACCAACTTTGCCGTTGACGGTCTTACCATCGATGTGTAGGCCGAGCAACATGTAAACGTCCTGAAGAGTCACAGTACACTCACCAAAAGGTAGGTGAAATGTATGTGTCTCCGGTCTCCAGCGTTTTAACAACGCTAGATTAAATTTCATGTCGAGAGAGTAAGATTTGATTTCGATCACATCACCAAACCCACAACGATTAAGGTACACCGCTATGAGGGGGTCGTGTGGTATGTAATCATGCACACGACATCGAAACCTTGATGCATCATGCAAAATAATTAATGTTTCGTGAAAGAGGAAGCTGCCAAAGCCAACACACACGTGGTCGCAATCTTTGACCGTACAACTGGTTGGTTCAATGTTGCCGAGTCTATGGATCACAACGAAGGAAGGCCTAGGGGATGTTACCGTGTTGAATTGGATAAGAGCTGGTGTGATTGTGGAAAGTTTCAAGCATTTCGTATGTCGTTTTATGATCGTTACATCATTCTTAAATCAAAAAGCCGGTTACATCATTCTTAAATCAAAAAGCCATTTTATGACCGTTTATATTTAAAAAACAAAATATAAGGTAATTGAATAACTTCCCTCATATGAAATTTTTTGCTTCATTTTTATCCGTCAATTTTCCTTCTCATATGGCAGCAACCGATGAGGAAAAGACTTTACCAACAAAACTTGCATGTACAATAGAATTTCAAGCAGCAAATTTGAAAGAAAAAAAAAGTAATATCCATCTTATCTAGAAAAATTGAGATCTATCTCAATCTAAAATATATCACTATTTTATACTTAAAATTTGTCATTTAACCAATTATGTTACTATTTATCATTTAAATGTTGGGATAATTCAATCATATAAATGTATGAAGAAATTATATTAAACAAAAATGTTAAATTTTACATCCAACTTTGATACAATTTTGTTTTATTTATGTTTTTTTGTTGTATATAATTTTTTTTGATTCTTTATGTTTGAATATGAAATAATTCATCTCAAATTTACAATTATATTGCTATTTTAGATTTCATGCATGCTTGATTCGTATAGTTTCAATTTTTGTTGTTCATCACTTATTTCATATAGTTAAGAATAATTTGTGTTCAAATGAATTATTTAGAACATTGTTTTGATGTTATTTTACTCTATTTTAAAAATAATTTGTATTCATTATCTTGGTGGGAACAATGTTTGGTCAAGCTTATGATCTCTCAGGCCGAACTCTAGATTACTAGGACCCCTCATCATCTCTAAAGGACAATTCTTCTCTCTTTTTATTTCTTTTTAAATCATCATCTTTTTTTTTTCAAGTAATCTTTTTCTTTTGCATATACTTATTTTTATTTATTTTAATTTTGATTATAATTAGTGATATTTTGTCGTGATAAATTCTTTGTTTCTAATCTTTCTTCTTTGATGTTTGATTATAGTTGAATTAGTTGTCATTTAAATTTACATATTTTGTTGTTATATTTTTCAAAGTGTTGATATGTACTATAAATGGGAAGATTTTTTTTCAATGGAATAGGTATACACAATTATATACAATGACAATTACAACATTAAATAACTCTCGTATCTATTTGCTTGAGTAACTTTTCACTCATTCAACTTATATATACAAAATAAAATATATAAAAAAGAGGGATAACATAATTTCAGTATTTTATTTTTTATTTCTATAGGTGTGATCTTCATATTAAACACATCTTTAACCATGAGGGAAAAAAAGAATAATAATATTAACAACAAAATTTATTGTAAATTATTGAAAATTTGAAACACTAACCATGCACTTTCTTAAATTAGTTAAATTTTATTGTTAATTTTTTATTTACAATTTTTACTTTTTAGATTAAAGACATGCAAAATAAATGTCATATTAATTAAAATTTTAATTTGAAAAATAATGTAACTTTTAATTAATTAAAAAAATGATATTTTAACATTTCTTACAAACATGAGAGTACCTAAAAAATTTAAATTTAAAGTTGTTCTGGCCTGGACCCCGGCTTGACCGGGCAGACCCAGCCCAATGATATTCTGTTAGACCCAATCCAGCTTGGGCTACATCCGTCGAGCACATGTTTCCCGTCGGGCAGACAATGGCCCCTCCGCGGGCAGAACCTTCTCCCTTATCGAGCAGAACAACGTGTCCTTCACACGTTCTCCACGTGCTCCCCTCTGCGGGGACACATCATCAACCAACTACCCACCTTCGAAAGAGCAGGTCGACCCACTCTCTGGAGATCACAGAGCAGTTGAACTAGGGCGAAGACCACGTTCTGGTCTTCACTACGCCACGTAAGCC